TAGATTATATTATTGCGTTTCTGTTTGACGCAAAAATAAATTAAAAGAACGGTTTTCAATCAGTTCTTATATAATACAATACAACAGCATGCTTTGTACAAAGGACATTTTCACTTATCGGCCTCACAACGTCATCATCAACAACTAGCCACTGTGTCGTCCCATCGTCTTGTACATTTCGAATATACGCTACATAATGTCCACTATTAAGACTTCCTATATGGTTCTGAAATCCTTTAAAGTTGCTGATAAAGGAGGAACACAGGTCAAATTATGACTAAAATTTCACTCGCGACTCTAAAATAAATGCTTTAAAAAAAAGCTTACAGTAACCGCGTATAGCTTGTATCGAGAACCGCTAGAAGTAGCTGAAGAATGTAAACACGATTTCAAATCTAAAGTGTCAGTACCAAATGCTACAAGAGTATCGTTCTTATTCACCCCATCAAACGATCGTTTCAAATGAATCACCTGAAAAGATATTAAACACGCTCCTGCAAAGCGAATAAAAAAAAAGAATGGCAGTACTATATTTGAAAAATTTAATCTAAACGCAAGAGTACGCTTGCTTAATCCAAAATAAGATCATAAAAAACTTAAGAAATAGAAAAGAAAAACTAAAAAAAGTAATAGTTCTTCTTAACTAACCAAAATCTGAGGAGTTCTCCAGATGCCTGTTTTTAAAGAAGAATCACGATAGTGATTACAGTCGGGGCACTTCCACCTTGATTCCCCTTTGAGCGACTTAACATTTCATGTTTATCAGAAATGACGAAACCATAATTAAAATTAAATTTACGTATTTTGAACAGCTACTCAAAGCAGGAGGTTCAGCAAGTTTTTTTTCTTTTTTAATAAAAAACGTGGCTCTTAAAACCTACGATCTCCTTGAAATGGGAAGCAATGCATTCGCTCAAAGACGTCTCCGATATGGCGATAGAAAGCTGAGTTATTTCTTCGAACGAAACACTTTTGTAATTGCATGTACCGCATTTCTTCACCGAAAGTGTAATGCACTAAATCTTTTTCCATAAATATTAAAAAAATTCCATACATATAACATAAGTGTTATAAGAAAAAAGTAATGTGAATAAACCCTACTGCTGCAATGTGTTGAGAAACTGAAACTGCTAGACATTTAGAATCTTTATTAAGAAAGGCAATTAATATTGAAGGCAAGAAACCAGAAGAAAGAATAAGGCAGTTATGTCAATGTACTGCCACAAGTTATGTTTTACAGATAACAAAATCAGAAATCCCTGCAAAATTGACAAATGATTCCACTGAGAGAATAATTGTTTCAAATTTCGCACAAAAATAAATTAAAAAAATTGTTTAGATCAATAATTACTAGAAGCAGAGTGATTTCCCTACAACTGTATGAAAAAAATTCTGCCAACTGATATCCAAACTAATTTGGGTAATGTAAACTGAAGCAGAATGTGCTAGAGGCAAACTCTGTCAATACTATAAACTTATCCAGATGAAGGACTCTGTACTTATTAGTAAATTCTAGTGAAAAATGGGCACCACTCGACACTTACTTTGACTTACTTCACTTTCCACAGGGAATATCAGATCAGAGCGTTCACTAAGACTCACAGAAAACCCTACTGCAACGCAATCAAGGACAACTTACCCTAAAAACGTCATTAATCAGTGAATTGGTATATAACCTCCAATTCTCTTCAAATTCGAGGGCTTCTTTTTGAAGATTTTTGCCTGTGTAGTTTTGTTCAAAAATCTTAGGTTCCTGCACCTAAAAAAAAAAAAAACAAAAAAAAGATATGTAAAGTAAAATGTGTCACGAAAGAAAGAGCTGAGCTTGGAAGAATGAAACAACCTTGTCCATGTCTTCGTGTAATGCAGCCAGTAAAAAAATTTGAAATTCCTGAGCATCGTGCTGTTTAAAATCGCCAAAATCATGGTTAACATGACTGACAAAAATGCTCTAAAATAGACACTTTTAATAGTCACCAAGTCAAAACTCAGAGTGACTCATGAACAAAAAATACTTTTCATGTCAAAGGTACAAGTATTATAAAACAGAAAACCAACGAAAAAAATCTGATAAAGTGAGGTTATCACACAATCCCTATTCTCCAAGTGGGAAAAAGCCATTGTCCCCTCATCCTGCTAAAATCTCTTTATTTTCCTAAACGTGCACTCCCTTTCACTCCGACATTTCTAAAAATCAACAAAGAGGAGAAAGGGAAAGAAAGAGGAATGTGAAATTCCCAAGGAGAAGTCAGAGCTTATATGCAACTTTGTAGTGTTGATAGTATTTCGTATGACCAACAGAAATACTCGTCTTGAATATAAACTAAACATCTTTGTGTGATAATAAAATGTTTACGACTTTCCGGGTTGCAAGGCGTCAGAAAAAAACTAAAATCTTAAATTACCTACGTTGGGAACACTTGCCTTGAAAAAAAAAATTCCCAGTATATACCCTAACGAAGAGATGTTGTAGAAAAATGGATTCCTCTCAGAATTTAATGGATCATTGATTTCTGTTTGTTCTTCTTACTTTCCACCATTTCCGTCTGCTCAGCTTGCGAAGCAAATAAGAGTCCCACTTCACTTAGGGGTAGAGTAAACAAGACTTCCCTTTTTCTTCAACAAACCGATAACGCGGATTAATAAGCAGAAATAAAACCTACGCGAAAAAAACTTGGATTGATTACGCTGTATTTGCCACTCCATGCCGCTTCCATCAAAGCAGAAAAAGCTACTGAACAAATGCCACGCGTCCCTTTTCGATTCGTCCTAAAATTATCAAAAGCCACCTTCGCTGTCATCAATATTCATTAGTAGCAAATAATATCCAACCTGTTAATATCATTTAGATACGACTGTGATAAGAAAATCCTGCGCAGTGGTAATGTGTTGAACAACGCTTGCAATGTAGCATTCATGTAACAAGTGTTTCCAAGATTTTTTAATCCAGTAAAACCACGCCGTACCTAAAAGTCTCAAAAAAACCTGAGGAAAAATTTTACAACTGCTCTCATCATGCCTCACTTCCAAATGTCATTTTTAAACCTCTTCTTTCGTGTTTTTAAAACCATTTCTTCTTTGCTCTTATTTAAGGCTCTCTTCCACACATGTTCACAGAGAAGTAAATAAAATACAAGTACCCGTTCTTTAATCGCCTCCTTATCAATCTGTTGTAATGCGCCATTGAAAATCAACAACAACTGCTCTGATTTATCTGACCTATAAACTAATAAATAATCTTTTTGCTGCTGTAACTTTTAAAAGAATAAAAAAAAACTATTAAGAAATCAGTGACCTCAGCAGTAAATGAATTTAAAAGGTCAAAAACAAAAGTGAAAAGTAAAATTTGCTACCAGCAGCTGTAAATTCTTCAGTTCACACAATTACAGTTAAAAACTTACAAAAAGCTAGGTTTCTGGCTTCTATCAGGGACAGAAGGAGCAACAACGGTTCTAAAAAATAACCTCAATGTAACAAGAAATAAAAGACTGCGGAAATAACTGCATCATAAAGTTCACATAAGCTCTCAAAAAAAAAATCAAATAGAACGTAAAAGCGAAAAATTGCGGCATTGAAAGCATAAGGCAACACTATTACTATCACAATAACTCGAGGAATACAACGTACCCTAATCGAGCACCCCCTTTAGCTTTGGCCGTTGAAGA